AAGATTGTAAAACAACGGTACGTCGCTCTTTTCTAGATAATGTCTGTGTAATGGTTCAGTCTTCACAACTTAACTCATGCTATCTATACTGGACTGTTCATAAGATTCTCAAAAAGTTTGCAATTTCTCCTCGGTATTGGAGAACCCATGTCACTTCGCCAACTCCGCTTCTGATTCCGTCTTTAAAGCAGCAGCTGAAGGCGCCTATCAATGCGGCAAACAGCTTTTTTGATGGGTTCAATGAACAGTGGCAGGAGATATGTTGATCACTACTGAAACGCAGTATGAGACTTTGGCCAATAAAATTGAGAGCATGCATTGACGATTTTCCTTATGAAGAAAGCGCGAATTCAACAAGTCTGAACCGAGATTTGGAACTTTCTTCTTAGCAACGTGCCATATAGCGATTTTATTTTTCTATCGGTCTGATGTACTTGGCAAAGAAAGGAATAAGCAGGCATATATTAAATCGAGCTTCATTACGTCAGCTTATTCTAAGCAAAAAAATCTTTCATAAATTCGCTGTTTAAGCTGAACCACAGCCGAGAAATAGCAACGATTAAATATGATGTTCATCCCCATGCCAATAAAAACTACATGATGGAATTCGTGTTTGATCAGCAACACTAATGCCAATGCCACACATCAGCAACACTAATGCCCTGTTCAAATTCATGCAGCCGTTACTACTTTTGCCTTGGTTTTTTTCAAAATCAAAATCAAAAATGTTTAATGACGTCGGACGTCCCCGTTGTCTAAATCAAAAAATTCACCATATATACATGTCAAAGCCGCAAAATACACAAAGCATTTGAGAATCTAGAAATCACAAGCGAAGTAAAGAATATTCTATGGGTAGCGAATGCCTATCTCAACAAATATAAATATAGATACATTCAAAGATTCAGCGTTTTATTCAAAGTTCGCAAAAAACAATGTTTGGAATCATTCAGTATAACATTTTGAACGAAATTTCTTTGAACCATTTGTACGGAACATTTGCATAGTAAAGAAAGTTTCATTCCTTTGCACGCTATATTATTATTATTATGCAGTAGCATAAAAGTGTCTTAAAAAATTGCGTACTTGCTTCATTTTTATTGCTACGATTTGACTCTCATCCACGATTAGATGATAAAAACAGTCATACATTCACTTTCATTTTTGCTGAAGTGCTAGATTCTTTGCTGATCATGTTCAGGGAACAAACTTTAGATATGACCCAGTCGCAAGAATCAAAATAAATTTAGTATAATTACCATAATTTTTTATGCAATATGAGCAGCGTTTTTCGGCTGAATGCATTGCTGAGACTCATCACGGCAATACTGAAGAGCCTATGTTTCGAAAGGAATTTGATTATGTTTTGCATTTTGCACTCAAGAATCGAATTTTACCATATTTCGTCATTATGCATAAAGATGCTTAGGTTACACCCTCATCGCTATAAGAGTTCCGTAGAGGTGTATTGCTTTGCAAACTGCTTTTTATTTTGTTGTATCATGGATTTAATATTGTTGTGTTATTCTTTTGCATAATTTTTAAAGTCCGAATGAAATATTTGTGCATCGAAGTTAAGAATTGACAGAGCATGTTCTACTTACACTGTATGCATGAAGAATTGCGAACCTTTGTGATTGTGAAACTCATCGTCAGTCTTTAAGCGATCTCTATTTGGATTCGTTTTGGATAATTCCTGCGTTTTCTCTTATTTTAGTTTGAAATAGCACAGGTGTCATGGTAGCAGAAGGCCTTTAATCGTTCATTTGCTCATGAATGTCTCATGAAGGAAAGCAAAATTCTTGTTTGTTGGGATAGAATAATGACTTGTTGTACCAGTGAAGAAGCAAGAGAACAGCGAAGGATTAATCGCGAAATTGAAAAGCAGCTACAGCGGGATAAACGGAATGCCAGGCGAGAGCTGAAGCTACTGCTGCTAGGTTAGTTACGTGTTTGCTCTATTTATGTTTCTCTTTTGAAGATCTGTAAAGGCTGAGAACGCCGTTTGCTTTACCGTGCTTTGTTGCGTTGAAAAGAATTTCTCATGGTTAGCTAATATGAACAGCCGAAGTTACTTCCAAAATTAGTGATGCGGACCCAGTCGGTGAAAATGGCGTCTTCAGTATGCCTAAAGTGACTTATACGCTCCTGCTGTATGTCTGTTTAAAAAACTGCTGGCGGATTTAAGGAATTGTTTTAAACTGGGCTAAAACGTTTGCTGCTAGCAAGTTTAATTTGGTTAAGTTTTGTTACTTTTGTTACTTCGTCGAAGCCTGTATTGTGGCTGAACTGTTTAAGTTGTAGGAACCGGAGAATCCGGAAAGTCAACCTTCATCAAGCAGATGAAAATTATCCATGGATCGGGCTACTCTGATGAAGATAAAAAAACTTTCATTAAACTCGTTTATCAGAACATTTTTATGGCTATGCAAGCAATGATTCGAGCAATGGACACCTTGAAAGTACCGTATGGAGATCCAGCGAATGAGGTTTTCTTAATATTTTGAATTTTATGTGTGTATCCAACTGGTAGATTTTAAAGGAGAAGGCTTCAATCGTAAGAGCGATTGACTACGAGTCTATTACCACATTTGAGGAGCCGTATGTCACATACGTGAAAGATCTTTGGCGCGACAAAGGTATTCTAGAAGTGTACGATCGTCGACGGGAATACCAGCTGACAGATTCTGCCAAATAGTAAATTTTATTGCCTAGAAGTTTGTTTGCTGCTTCTTACTTGCCATTGAATGTGCCGTTTCGAGCCTCGAGTCGTAGTTTTGATGCTGTTGTTTGCTTTATGTCTTGGCTTGTTTACAACTGGCGTTGAAGCCGGTTGTTCAAAGTATAGCGGTGTAACAATAGTTGATGAGCGATCGCAAGGTTGTACGCTGTTGCCCTTGCTCTCACCCGTCGTTCTTGAGCACTGAATGACCGAGCGTAGGTTGAAACAGATTTCGTGTTAAATTAGCGAGACGTGCTGTTTATTTAATTGTTTAGTCATATTACATGGTTCGATCTGTCTTAAATAGCAGTGTTTGTAGAGGGTCTTTGCATCAAAGATTTCACATCCAAGTAACTAATTAAAGCAAACTAATTTTTCACGGCTTTGGAATTCGGCATATATGAAATTGTATGTTCCCTAGAGTTGAACGGTGAACATAGAACTCAACGGATTACTTACGAAGAAACGTTGAGCGATGGCCATGCCGAAGTCGCAGGTGTAACATTTGATGATTTCATTCAAGCATTTACCGACGTCGTGAATCATTCGAAATTTGATTCGTGGTCCTTACTTGAGTATAACGGAAGTTTCGGTGATGCACTTCTGCTGACGGTATTCACGTGTGCGCTGTAGGTCGTCGTTTCTCATTGTAAAAAAGACGAATCCAGTGTGATTCGTGGCAGTGTAAGCGCGTGATGAATGCGATCACGCGCGAAGAAGTGTCGTTCACCGTTTTGAAAGTTATCCGTAATCTTATTCGGTGGCGTTCAGCGGAATGGAACTTATCGGTATCAACTGCGATGAACCGCGTATAGGCAAAAGATAGTCGCTTTGTGAGCTTTGTAAATGTCTTTAATCCGTTAAGGATGCGCATATGATAGTTTCACTGTAGGCGTAACTGTCATTTTGACCTGTTCGGAGGTGATTCTTCGGAGACAGACAAAAATTTTCGTTGCAGAACCTTTGAAAGTTTGTTTGCACCATAGTCTCCGTTAAGAAGCACTGGCAGCGACATGCTGGTGCCCAGAGTAGATGCTACGTATATTTCTTGAGTTCCGGTTAAAAAATGGCTGTCGTTATTGTGAAATTTGAAGAATGAAAATTGTATTTCCTTTGCATGAAGATATGTAGACCGTTTTGCAAGGTGGTAGTTAGTATGAGCAGTTCTTAGGTCTATTTTCGCAGATGATAATTATTCGTTGTTACACCTTATGCAGATAGTATCACGCTGGCTAATCAGCTGTCAGAAGAGTCAAACCGAAGTGCAGTCACAAGGGGCACTCCCATTGGACAACACGTCTAATATGACCCACCAGAATAC